ATGTCTTATTGCTGGTGTTAATCTCGATTGCTTGGCTTCATTGGTTTCTGTCATGTTTCTCCACCATAAAGTTATTATTTTGATCTTTTTCCTAAGAAATAAGGGGTGGCATTGAAGGATTTTAAGCAAGGGAATTGTTTAGCTTTGTGTTTCAAAGATGTCCTCCTGGTTGCAGCTTGAAGAACAGGTTAGAAGGGCTCATATGTGCATGGGGATGCCCCCTTGTTGTGCCTCAATTCAGACTTAAGTGACACTAGGCAATGCTGTCCAAAGTCAGGGAGCTTAGAAACTGAGCTTGACTGGCTTCCAATACCCATAAGCCTGGAAGCTGCAGAGGCACCTGTCTCAGCCAGGCTGGGCTGGGGAGCGGGGAAGGGAACCCAAAGCCAGCCAGAGCTGGGTGCTCTCTGAGTACCTCCCTGACCCCCCACAGCCGGTGCTTTCCCTCCTCCTGGACCCCGGGGCTACAATGGGAAACGGGGATGAGGCACCAGGGAGGACCCGCTGTGGCCTTTGGCCCTCTGCCATCCCAGTGGCCTCCCCAGGCAGAGGGTGATCAGTGAGCAGCCGCCTGCCCAGTCTGCTCCTGGCTGCCCTCCTATCTCGGTCCCCCCAGCACTCTCTGCCTGGCAGGGAGGAGTTGCTAGAGTTAAGCGGATTTCATGCTATTTTCAAAGTCATTTTCCATGAAAAAATTTTTTATACCATTAAACCTACTTTCGCCTGCCTCTCATCTCCCTAAAAGCGTTCCTCCTCCTCTTCCATGAGATAAACCAGCAATGGGAACATTTAAAAACCTGCTAGTGACACCCTCCAGGTACCGTGGGTGTCACTAGCCAGGACTGGGAAGAGGAAATCACCCTAGGGTTCCTGTGGGAAGGCAGGCCAGTGAAAGTGGGTAGGAGCGCCCCAGCTGGGACAGGCCCCCCACAGCACTCCCAGTTTTGTTTCTGGGCCACCCAGCCCCCTCCTAACAACTGTCTGGGGTCAGGGCCCAACCCCCAGTTTCCCATCCTCCTGTGATAGCCACCAAACCAGGATGAGTCTTTTACAACCAGTGACCAGTGTCACCTGAGGGGCAATCGAGGCATTTCCCAGAGACGCCCAGGCAGCCACGCTTCTCAGAGGAGAGCTGGCCCTGAGCAGCTACAAGCTGGGAGGTGCTCAGGATGAGCCATGGAGAGCCAGACAAAGCCAGCGTGTGCTTCTCGCGATCCCACTGCACTGTTTTGTGCATTCCATACGGAAGCCTCTATCATGTTGTCACACCACAGCTGCCTGTAAACTGAGGCCTTTGCGAGGACAAGTCAAGGACAAATGGCTCTGTCTCCTCCGCTTACAGCACAGGGCTCAGCCTATGAGAGGTTGCTGGATAGAAGCCTATTACATCTGCCAGATCCCTTTATGAGCAAGGCTGACCCAGCACCTCAGCCACACACAGCTGGACCAAATTTGGACTGGCCAGTGGCCACGGGGGTGACCTGGTGTAAGAGCTGTGCCCAGGGGAAAGGATGGGGATAGACTGGACCAGTGAAGTTCTCTTCCCTGTGACAACCCAGCAGTGTGTAACCTCGTGAAGCTGCAACGTTCCCAGGGTCCTGCCAGGATGGAGATGTGGGAGAGAACATTCCAGGATGACTCTCAGTTTTCTGACCAGTTCAGCTGATAACTTGATGCTGCTAAAACGAGGGTGAAATACTCTCAGAGAAGGGTAAGTTACTGGGAAATGGGGGAATGATCCCAGATTGGCGGTTGGTGAGACCAAGGCAGTGGTGGGACATCCAGGAGGGGCAGCAGGGACAGGAAGTAAATGCTCAGGGTCCAAGAGCCACAGCTGTGCGCTGACACCTGGATTCCAGAGGCATATCTGAGGAACAGCCTCATGTGTCATGGTAGAGGAGATGATCTCCACCAAAACACAGGGCCCCTTCCTCCAGGGTACTAAATATAGAGATAAGAGGGAAAAAATTTAATTATTCATGTTTCACCTGATGTTTTTTAGGGTAAAGCTTTTATATTTAAATTTTTTTAAGCCATTTGTTACTTTACAACTGCACAGAATGCTGGAAGAAGAAATAAAGTCAACCTCACACATTGTTTTCTTCCCTTATTCACACATTGTTCATTTCACTGGAATTTCTTTCTCTATCTGCATCCAAAACAGAAAGTGGTGCAAAAAATACAAAAAACTTCAACGAATGTTGCCTCAAAATCAGCCTGAAGTTTTCTTAGCAAATATGGTAACAGCTTACGTATTCCTGTCTTTCTAAGTAGATTATAAAGGAAATAGCTTTTCTACACAAGAAGACTTTTTTTTTTTTTTTTGGCTGGCTCATGCAGGGATCCTAACCCTTGACCTTGGAGTTATAACACCAGTCTAATACACAAGAGTAATTTAACCATAGTTATAAAACCTTTTTCAGAACAAATATTGACATATCATTTTTATCTTAATTTTTTTCCAACAGAAGCTAAAATTTCTGCCTGTGGGTTTAGGGCTCAGTACTGGCCTCTGACAAAAGGACCGTTCAGTCTTGGGACAGGATGTCAATTTAGAGGGTAGCCTTGAGTAAGAGTCAGCTTTCTCCTAGAAAACAGGAATTAGACCAATAGCAAATGCTCATCTAGCACTCCTATGTGTAGGGTACTATGCTATAGGCATTACAGTAATCCCCATCTTACAGACAGAAAAAAGTGAGGCACAGCGAGGTTAAGTGATCCACCCGTGCACATATACTGCCTCTCCAATGTCTAAGGTTGGAATCAGCAGGTCCCGGTGGGGCCCTGGACCCCTCACTCCTAACAAGCTCCCCCAGGGACTGTGATCCAGGTGGTTTCTAGACCCTACTGTGAGACACTGTTCCAGGCATCAGCACACCTGCTCTGGTTCCGAGTGCAGAGAGCAAACAAGAGAATCCAGAGCCCCAACCAGACTAGTTCTCGGGAGGGCAGTTGGTGCCACCCTCTGACCAAAGCAGTAAGGGGAGTGTAAGGCTGGGAGTTGGAAACCAGATAGGGCTGTGCCTACTGGGAACCGAGCTGGTGCCTCTTGCTGCACCAGATTGCCATCTGCTGGCCATAGGTGGCTATTGCAGGCCAGATAGAAAGCCCAGGTCCAAACCCTTCACCAAATGTTAAGTGGTTACATCTGTGCTGGGGCTTCAGCAAAGACCCCAGAGTTCAGTTCAGAGCATGAGACAGACAAGCATCAACAATGCCACGTGGTTAGCGCTATGGGAGGGGGGAAACAGGTAGGGGAAAAAGTCTGGGGGGGGGGGTACAACATGAGGGGCCACTAGGGAGAAATAAGCCAGAGAGGTAGGTGGGGGCCAGACTCAGATGGGCCTCATTAGAGTTTGGATTGAGGTGGACAGTAAGGGCAATGGGAAATCCAGCAGTAAGTCAAATTTAGAGTGTAGTGTTATAACACTACGGTCAAGGGTTCAGGTCCCCATACCACCGGCCACCAAAAAAAGAAGTCAAATTTAGGTTTAATAAGATCATTCTGGCCTTTGTCAAGAGGATGGAATAGGATTGATTGAGTGGAGGCAGAGTCCATTTGAAAACCATTCCAGTATCAACGATGAGAGAGAGCAGAGGCCAGCATAGATTAGGGGGTGGCTATGGGGATGGAGGAAAAATGGTCTATGAGAAATATTCAAGTAGGGTTGATTATGTTTGATAAACCAAATCCCAAAGGATAACAGCAGGAAAGGGGTAGAGGCCCCGTTTCATTCATTCCTTCTTTCAACAAACTTTAGCACCTACTATGAGCAGGAACTAATCTACCTGCTGGGAATACAGTGGTGTAAGCTAGTCAGGAAAAGGGCAGAACCAAGAATGACTCCCCAAGACCACAAAGATAACAGCCACTGTGGGAAACCTGGACGGGAGGAGGAAGGGCCTAAGAGAACTTCTCCCCCAGTGATGCTTCACCCCAACAGGCCTGGGCAGAAAGCTCAGTGCCACCAGACAGAAGCATGCAAATTATCCACACTGAGGCCCAATTCCCTCATCAGTGACAGGCCCTAGGCCACCTGAGTGCTTTGCAAGGACTAATTAGAAAGCCTGTTGCAGGGCCGGCCCGTGGCTCACTCGGGTGAGTGTGGTTCTGATAACGCCAAGGCCACGGGTTCAGATCCCATATAGGGATGGCCGGTTTGCTCACTGGCTGAGCGTGGTGCTGACAACACCAAGTCAAGGGTTAAGATCCCCTTACCGGTCATCTTTAAAAAAAAAAAAAAAAAAAGCTTGTTGCAGATTTGGCCCTGGGTGCTGGCCCGGCCTCTGAACACACCTAGGTGTGTCAGATTTCTCCCATCAAGGGGAGGTGTCTTTCCAGGCAACCATGGCCTGACCCCCAGCGGGAGGGGCACCCAAGGTCACATCTAGATCCAATTCAGAGTCCCTGGGATGGCCGTTTAGCTCACCTGGGAGAGCATGGTTCTGGTAACACCGAAGTCATGGGCTTGGATCCCCCTACCAGACACCAAGAAAAAAAAGGGCAGAGTTTCCATCAGCAGGTGAGGCAAGGTGAGGGCGTGCTGGGGAGGGATGTGGACTAAGGGAAAAAGGGAAGACAATTTGGGTGTGGGGGGAGCAAGCCCAGGTTCTGGAGACACCCTACCACCATGCAGCCCTCACCTTTCAGCCCCATCCACCGGCGGGGACTGGACTCTGCCGATGAGGCACAATAAGGGGCTTTTCACGAAGGGTGGTGAGGAGTGGAAGGCCAGCCAGCGCAGTGCACCCTGTTTTCCTTGTTGGCAGGGAATTTTCCACTGCCCAGCACCCCGGTGCTGCAGGATGAAGGGACATGTGGAAAAACCCACCACCACCACCAAGGAAAAGAAGTAGAGTCCCCAGAGTAACCCCGCCCATCCCCCAAGCCCTGGACCTGAGCATCCATCGAGAGAGACAAATTATCACTCTCCTTTTAAAGCAAAGGGGCCCATGGGAACGGTCACATGCTGGCAAAACAAATACCAGAGACCAAGGGCTGTGGACACATCACTTTATTTCTTTGGTTTTCCAACTTCACTCTTGGACCATGCAAATTCGGTCTCCCACCTGCCTGGCTGTTCTGTGGTCCCTCGCTGAAGATGCAGCTTAGGCTCTGAGGAGAAGCTCAGCAGAAAGGCTTTGGTCCCCAACAGCCAGCCAGGTCCCCAGCAGATGCATCAAGTACCAGCAAACAGAGACTGGGCCGTGTCCCCTCCTGCCAGCCTACCCTCCCCTCACCTGCTCCTTGCAGGGGAAGGCCAGCCCCTCAGTGATCTCAGGGGCCTTCAGCGGTTCTTCCTAAACATCCTGCTGCTGTCATGCAGAGTCTGGTCCTTCTCCCTGGGGGATGCCAGGCAGAAGCCTCTGACCCACCCCACATTCCACTCTAATATTCCTTTGGGAAACATCTTTGAGTAAAGAGGGTGCCAACACCCGAAAGAAACTGAAGACCTATATTCTGCCCAATGGGACAGAGAGCCATACTACAATACTCCCTTTGTCCCCCAAAAAGCTGAAAGCAGCTCTAGCTAACCAACCCCCTCTGTTCCCCCCATGTACATACAGCTTCCAACACCAGCAAGGGGGCCCAGCCAACCCACTCAAATCAAAACAAAAAACTAAAACACAATAAAAATATGACCAGCAAACAACCAAAGAGAACATCTCTGCTCCTGCAGCTTTCTACAGACCAGATGGCTGATGTCTGGCCCTCTCTGCCTGGGAGCCAGGAAGTAACACAAATATGTCCTTGGATTCAGGGTAGACATTGTGGGAGCCAGAGCAAAGGGCATCCTGGCCACGCCAGGGGGCAACTCAGGCCCCTGGCCCTCTCCAAACTGGTCCCCCTCCCTCCCAGCCCCTTCGGCACCCCCATCAGCCATCCACCAGGGTGAGGCCATCATAGAGGGCCCGCTTCCACATGTAGTAGGTGGAGCGGGCAGTGAGGGGGAAGAGGGCGCTGAACTCCTTGTAGGAGGGGAAGCTCTTAGACTGGAAGCGTTTCTGCAGGAACAGCTTGGCCTGGGCCTTGAACTTCGTGGTGGCAATCATGTCCATCACCAGCACCTGGCTGCCCCTGCCACCTGCCGCCGCCACCACAGAGTGGCTCAACAGGGACCCACTGGGGGGGCGGCCCTGGGCCATGGCCCCCTCTCTGGAAGGCCCTTCCTGGGCCTCCACTGGATTCTCTCCTGAAGAAGCCCCCTCCAGCAGGGCTCCCGCTGGTGGGGCCATCACAGCTGTCCCATTCCTGTCAGCTTCTTTCTTCTTCTCCTCGGCCTCCTGCCCCCCTTTGCCCAAAGTGGGGGCCTCCATCTGGAGTTTGGACAGGCCTCTGGGCCAGCCCCGGGCAAGGCTCTTCCAGACCCAAAAGGTAGAAGGTGACAGGCTAGGGTAGCGGAGGCGGAAGCGACAAAAGGGGAGGTGCCCACTCAGCACCTGCTTGCGGGCAGACCTGCGCAGACGCCTCTGCCAACGGGACAGAGGCATCCTCAGGGGCAGGAGTTCCTGGGGGGCGGGTGGCCCCCCGCCTGTTGCTTTCCCTGCCCCCTCTCCGGCTTCACCCTTCCAAGGGAGCAGGGTCCCTTCCCCATCAGACGCTGGCTGGGGAGCCCCAGCAGCTGAGAGGGCTGGTGGGGGCTTGAAGCTGGGGTTCCTTCGGAGGGCCTTTCGCCGCCAGTTGTAGTAGGTGGACCGCGAGATGCCAGGGAACCTACGTTTGAAGCAGCGATAGGGCACCAGTGTGTTCAGAGAGATGCAGTGCTCTAGGTACAACTTGGCCCGCTGCATTAAGACCATTCCAGGGCTTGATGCCGCCTGCAGGGAGCACCCCAGCCCCTTGGCAACCTGCTCCTCTGGCAGCTTCTCCAGCTTCTCCATGGCCAGCACCTCCTTGGGGGCCAGGGCCAGGCAGGGGCCAGAGCCCAGCAGCTCGTGCTTCCAGGCGTAGTAGGTGGAGCGGGAGATCTCGGGGAACCTCTGGAGAAACTGCTGCAGTGGCACAACGCCCCCACGGTGGAAGCTGTCCTGCAGGAAGTGCTTGGCCGAGAAGCGTGCAGCCACCTTCTGTCGGTGCTCCTGGGATTGCCGCCGCCAGCGGTAGAAGGTGCTCTTGGTGACACTGGAGCGCTCACAGAGGTGGGAGTAGCTGAGCCCAGGTTCCCGGTTGAGCAGCTCCAGAGTCTTGGCTGGCGATGGCAGAGGGGCCAGGGCCAGGCCTGGAGCATCTTCAGCCTCCACCTCCTCCAGCCCCACCACAGGGGCAAAGTACTGGTGGCGATAGAGGCGGCTGGTGAGGGGCTGGCCAGCCCACATGATGTGCAGCGTGGAAGGCATATGGTCACAGCGGCGGGGCCGGATGACACGGTTAAAGTAAGGCCGGATCTTGAGGTTGCGCATGGGGTAGATGGAATAGATGTTGTGCTGAAGGACAGAGGCCAGGGCGTACAAGTGCCATACATTAGAGAAGCTGCTAGGAAAGCAGGTGGCCTTGACATCTGCATCGAAGATGGCCTCCAGCGTGGCAGACGGCAGGCTGGTCATCTCAGGGGACTCCTCAGAGCACAGAGAGTAGCGCACAGCCTGCAGCATCACTTTGGAGTCGATCATGCCCTGCAGGTAGTAGTGTCTGTGCAGCAGCATCTCTACCACGGTGCGTGCCCGCAGCTCCAGGCTGAGGTCCACGTCCCCCCACAGCAGCATGCTGGCCGCCTCAAACAGCAGGCTGCCCTCGCCCTTGCACACCAGCGGCAACATGTTCGGTGGGGCATCCTCTGGGTACAGGCTCAGGGCCACCGAGTCCACCTCTAGCACCTGGAGGCTGGGCCCCCTCTCCCGGCAGGTGGGGAGGGTGAAGGAAGACAGGACCTGCTTGGCCTCGAGGGCAGCACTCACAAGACCCTCCAGGCCCTCGGACTCCACTGCCTCCTGTAGCTCCCGCAGCACCTGCTGCACCAGCTGGTCCCGAGAAGTCATCCTGCCAGGGCCAAGGAGAAAGGGCAGAGGTCAGGACAAGGTACCCAGGTGACAACCCGCAAGGGTGCCCTGTCCACTCCTGCACTTTCTCCCTAGAGGTAATGCCCATCCGCTCCCATTCCCCCATAGCAGATAATAGCTAATTGCCTCCTGGCATTTGCTCAATTACTCAGTGGTAATGAGGAAGAGCATAGTCTCTGAATCCTGGCTCTGATATTAGCTTGGTCACCTTGGGCAAGTCACTTAACCTCTCTATGCTTCTGGTTGCTTTTCTGTCAATGGGGACAATAATATATCTACCCTATAGGGTTGCTGTGGGCATAAATGAGACAATGAAAGTAAATGAGGGAGATATGGGTTTATACACACACGAGTCTACCTATCCTTACAACAGTGCCTGGCACATGGTAAAGTAGTATAGAGTGTTAACTGCTCCATACTGTAACACTGTCTAGTACTATACATAGTATGTAGTATATTCATGTATAAAAGCTGTATCTCCGTACTTGTTAAAGTCTTACAATCACATACGGCCAGAATTGGTCTGCCTTTCCCTAGAACAGTGATTCTCAAAGTATGGTCCATGGACCCTTGGGCTTCTCAAAATTTTTCAGTGAGTCTGAAGTTAAACCATTTTCATAATAATACTAAGAAAATTTAACACTGAGATATTATTTGCCTTTTTCGTTCTATTAGCATTTGAATAAAACTTAGCACGAATCAAAGCAATGACACCAAATTATTAGAAGTCATTATGTTCTTCACCACCATGTACTCAAATTTTTTTAAAAAAGGCTAGTTTCACTCAAGAACGTCCTTGAAGCAATAAAGATGACTAATTTTATTAAATCGCAATACTTAAGTACAGTCTCTTCAATATTGGGAGTGACCAGATGGGGAGCACTCACAGAGCACTTCTGCTGCGTACTGAAGTGTGATGAATGTCTCAAGTTGAATGACTGGGTTGTGTGATGAATCAGCTGCGTTTAGCATGGAATACCCTTTTTACATGAAAGAAAGACTGACAGACATTGGTCATTTCGATCCGGTGTACTTGGCAGACATTTTCTCAAATGAATGAGGCGAGCCTGTCACTTCAAGAAAAACTATTTGCTGCCAATGAAAAATTCTTAGCTTCATTTGAAAATTAGAATTTTTGAAAACATATACCCACTACAATGAGCTTGATAGCTTCCCAATACCTAAAGACTTTTCTGATAAGATTAATGGTGCCATTAACAAATGAAAATTTTTATCCTGTATAATGGAACGGTCAACATTTACATTAAAGATCTACATTCCTCAATGAACGATATTTCCCAAATAACCAATAGGTGATGTTATGAAGTCATGCGCTTTGTAAACCATCCATTCAAAATATAAAAGAAACCAATGGATTTTAATATAACAGGATACAGAAAGTTCATGGATATGGTTTCAAATTCCACGTTATAACTAAGCTTTGAGAAACTACTACGTATGGAGTTTTGGTGAAGTATCCAAAAAAATTCACTGAAAAATCTAACAGAACACTCTTTTTCCATCTACATATCTGGATGAAGTTGGATTTTCCTCTTATGCTTCCACCAAAACAATGTATCGAAACAGATTGAACACAGACAGATATGAGAAACTACCTATCTTCTATTAAACTAGGTATTAGAGATTTGAAAAATATATAACAATGCACTTTTCTCTCCCTACTTTTGTTCCCAAAAAAGTTATTTTTCATAAAAATGACTATTTGTTACTATGTAACAGGTCTGTTATTTTTAAATAAATTTTTAATTTCTCAGTTCTAATTTTGAATACAGTATACATTGATAAATACAACCTATATAAACAAAAGCTCTTCAGGGTCCTCAGTTTCTAAGAGCACACGGGAGTCCTGAGACCAAAAAGTCCAAGAACTGCTGCCCTAAAACAAAGACAGTCTTTTCAAAGGGGCAGCAACAGTCTACTCACTGTGCAAAAACCTAGTAACTAGGGTTTACTGAGCACTTACTATTTGCCATGCACTTTTTAATTTTTTTTTTTGTCATTTTTGAGACCGGCCGCACCGCGCTCAGCCAGTGAGCACACCGGCCATCCCTATATAGGATCCGAACCCGCGGCGGGAGCGCTGCTGCGCTCCCAGCGCTGCACCCTCCTGAGTGCGGGCTCGGCCCATGACAGCAATACTTTAAGGTAGGTACTACCATCATCACCAATTTACAGGTGAGGAAACTGAGGTTTAGCCTAATTTGCCCAAAATCATACAAGTTAGTGGCATAGCCAGTAGTTGAAACCAGATGCTCCTTAGGGTCTATGATTCATCTCCTCCTTTTAAACTGTCAGTCACCTTTTCAATACAAACCAATCATCCTAATTACTGGTACGTTTTTAGCATTCGTTTGCGAAGCAGAGTGGTATTCCTTCATAGACACTGTTTTTAAATGAGCAAGAAAACGATTATTCTTTCTGGTTTCTCAAACCTTTGTTCTCAGAGTTCAATAAATTGCTTTAGATTAGCCTTGCATTTAAAATAGTGTTTGGCTCTTCACTTTTGCAGCCATCGCAGAGGCAGCAGCAGCCAAAACGAAGTTCAATCCCTTTGTGACTTCTGCCCGAAGCAAGAACCATAAAAGATATTTCAATGCACCCTCCCACATTCGCAGGTAGATTATGTCTTACCCTCTTTCCAAAGAGCTGAGACAGAAGTACGACGTACAAGCCATGCCCATTCAAAAGGATAATGAAGTTCAGGAGGTGCAAGGATACTATACAGGTCAGCAAATTGACAAAGTAGTCCAGGTTTACAGGAAGAAATATGTCATCTACACTGAAAGGGTGCAGCAGGAAAGGGCTAATGGGACACTGTTCACGTGGGCATTTGCCCCAGCTAGGTGGTTATTACAAAGACCAAAAAGAGAGCCTTTGAACAGAAAACCAAATCTCTCCAAGTAGAAAAGGAAAAGTGAAATATAAGGAAGAAATAATTGAAAAGACGTAAGAATAAAGTAATCTTATATACAACTTTCACTAAAAACTGCTAAGATGAAAGAATAAATAAAATTGTGTTTGGGTGTATACACTTTTCAACTCATCGAACTATACACTTAAAAGTGATGTACCAAGGTCCAGGGTTCAATCCCTGTAATGGCCAAAAAAAAAAAAAAAAAAAAAAAAAAAGCATCAAAGGAATGCCCACCAGAATTTTGCCTGATAATCATAAAGGAAAGCTTTTTTTAAAGTGGTAATCAGAATCAACTTTTGATAAAATTTCTAGGCTGTAGACTTCTCTAAAACGTGTATATTATGACAAATCTGGTATAACCGCTCACCAAATTTCTACTGGTACCATATTATTTAACCTTGCAATTGGGCCTTTGTTCATCTTTTACGAACTTTATATTTACTTTTTTAAAAAAACTATGACTTTTCTTTGGACTCAGGAGATAAACTTGTCAGTCCTTAGTAAAGAGAGCAATCACATGAGATAAAAAATTGAACCCTTAAGATCAAACTGTGCACACACGAAGAGCTTTTTCATGCTAGCAGACAATCATCCCAACAAACAAGGTGCTGGTTTTGTTTTTCTTGCATGACGTTACTTGTTGAATGCTGTTATACTGCTTGCATATATATGAATGCTCTGCTAGATACTTTGCAAACAAAATCAGGAAAATAGTCCCCATTTACTGAATGCTTACTATGTGCAATTCAACTTAGGCAATTCAACCAAAATCTCAGGAAAAATGAGAGAACAATTAATTTAAATTGTGTGGGTGATTCTTCATGCCCTTCCACTCAATGAGCCTGTTTCCTGAGCAGAGCACGATGTTCCCTCCAGTGATGATGAGCTTCTGTGGGCTTTTCAGAGGTAATTTTGTTTATATGCAGTTTTCACCTTCCCTGAACGTGAATTCTAACTCCGCCACACCTGCACCATCACAAGGATGGCTATTCCTAGTTCACACCCCGAGGAAGGGAGGCTCAGGGGGGTAAAAGTAACTTTCCTAAGACCACATAGCTACTAAAGCTACCAAACCTAAGCAGTCTGACTCAAGAACCCCTTCTAGCCACTATACTTCCATCACCCAAAATTATCATCCAAAGGATCCAAAACACACAGAACCTTGGAGCTTTGAAACAAACATAGCCATTTTACAGATAAGGAAACTGAGGTCCAGAAAGGTAAAACTGACTTGCCTGAATTCAAGCAGCAGTGTCCAGATATCTTCCAACACAATGTCCAGGAATACACACTTCCTCTTGCACAGACCCCACCCCGCCCACGCGACCTTGTCCCACCCTATCTACTCTTCCCTGTCCTAGTCCCACCCAGTTCCACCCTATCTAATTCCTTCCTCTTCCCCACAGAGGTAAGAGGAGGTGTAAGTAGTTAACACCCCACTTCTGGCTTCCTCAAAAGCCTTCTAAGAAAACACAGCTCCCCAGAAGCTCTCCATCTACCCCAACCCCAGCTATGCAAAGTGAGGCTGGGCCACTGGAGAATGGAGCAGTGGGGAAAGGGCAGGGGCCACACAGGGTAGCCTATCATCCTTAAGTAGACAACTAATGATGGGGTTCAGGTGCAACAGTTTTTAGCAATGGCTCTTTTCCTGGAAGTACAATGCAAAGCAGACGAGAAGGGTTGCCAGGTGCATTCAGGACTGAAGTGCAGAAAGTGAGACGTAATCTATGGGCTTTGCCCAGCTGGCCTCCCCTGCACCACAACTCTTGGAAGGAATCTGGAAAGACATGATACCAAGGAGGCAAGATCCCTTCAGAATATATAGGCTCCCCTGCTCTGCTGGCTTGAAGTTGAAAAGGAGGGGTAAAGACTGGGTATCCAGAAAGCATCCGGCCAGTATCTTAGCACCTTGGGAGGAATCTGGAGCCAAGGAGTGAATGAATGGACATAGACAACTCTGCCGGACACTCAAAGCCTCACCTTCACCAAGGCCAGCTTCCCTGCTCTCCTAGTCTCCTTATTTCAAGCAGATGCGGTGGTCTTGGAGCCCAATCTGGCCTCCGTCACCTGCATTTTAGGAGGGGCGAGACAGGGCTCTGGGTAGACCAGGGGAAGGAGGGGCCAAGAAATCTGCTGATGTGATGCTGGCAAGTTTCCTCTGGCCTCTAGAACAAACTCCTTACCCACCAGCTTCATTCTGGACTGTGTAGCTCACCAAGGATCCCGTGTTCTTGGACCTGCCTTTTCTCCCTATCCCTCCCAAAGCAGGCCCTGCACTCTCCATAGTCAACCAGGCCTAGAAAGCATGTGGGTCACACAGGTCTCAGCCCTCAAGAGGGCTATGAGGTTTGATTCTCCCCTGAACAGCTGGCTTCTCACCTGGCCTGGATCCACGCCTCTCTGGCCTGACCTCTGCACCCTGGGCCACACCAGCCTGGCAGCCCAGGATGTGCCCCACCAGGGCCTGGGGGAGCGCCAGCCATCTTGGCTCCCTCCCCGGTGGCCTGGAGGCCCAGTCGGGCATGGGTGGCCACCAGGGCTGACTAGTGGCAGCCGAGTCTGATTACTGCCACCTCCTAAGGAAACTTCCCACCACTAGGGTCACCAGGGTAGGTCCGGGGCCAACAAGTCAACCAAGCCCCAGGAGTTCCCAAGTTCAGTTGCTCTACTGGACCACGTGTCAGGAAGGCAGAGAGAAGGGGGAGTACAGCCCACGCCACCACTGGGGTGCCAGGACGCAGTGGGTGGCAGAGGAGAGAGCTGGCCGCTACAAAGACAGGGACCCAACCTGGAGAGCGCCAGGAGTCTGGGGAGGGGCCGAGCCCGACCATTGTGCGGGGTGGGGAGAAAGAGAACTTGAAACAATGCCTCACCTCCCTCTACACACACACACACACGCACACACACTCATATGCAAGCTTGCACACACACACAGCATCTTCACGGGGTCACTCCATGACCTGGATCCTGTAGTGTCCCAAGGCCACCCCTCATTCCTCTGGGGCCTCCAAGCTGTAGGAGGCACCCACCCTTCCTGGTTTTGAGGAAACTTCCTAGTTTACTGACCTCGAGGGTGGCCCAGAGCCCTGGGGGCGTCCACTTCTCTCTCCACCTTCCAGCCTGGGACATTTAAGTCACCCTGTGGGGAAAGGCCTTCCCAGGCAGCGTCCCCAGCTGAGCTCCACTCTCACTCCAAAACCAGTCTCATATCTGTAGAGGAACATTGAGCATGGACCGTCTACAGCCAACTGGCCGGTGGGGAAGCGGCTTAAGCCACTCCCCCCAGGAAATCGCCCACCCTCAAGTGCTCTGGTCCCAAGATGAAAGAAGTGCAAATTCGGGGGTCACTTCCAATGGTAAAGTGATAGCAGCTATTGTCATCCACTCTCCCCAGCTGGGGGTGTTAAAGCGCTCTGACCCAGCTCTGAAACAGACCCCAAACTGCCCAAGAAAAACTTGAAAGAAAGTTGAAAGATTTCCAAAGAGTTTGGGGGGAGGGGATGGGGGGGAGGAGAAGGTTTAGATAGAAAGGCCTGAGGGAAAAAGTCTGTGGCCAGGCTTGGGGGGAGGGGGGGTGAGAGCAAAGCTGCAGCCTGGAAACTGGCCATGGATGATTGGTTAGAGAAAGACTTTGGGGCTCTCTAAACCCCCAAAATGCATCTCTTCCTGGGGCAGGTCCCCCAACCTTGACCCTGCAAGACAGGAAGAACCAGGCAGGCTGGAGAACCACTCGCTGCCCCCCATCTTGGTGCAGGCCCCCTTCGCTTCCAGAAATACCACACTTTCCCCACATGCTACATCCCCACCATCCTCTGAGCATCCCCCAGGCTTGGGGCTCCACACCTATCCTTCCCAGAGTACGCCCAGGCCAGAGCTGCATCTGTCAGGGGCCAAGGGACCTATCCCAGGGCACCTAACTTTCTGAGCTCCACAGGAAGTGGGGGGTGCGATACCTGGGATTTTGGTCCCTCCCTAAAGTTTACCTGGGGCCCAGGGGCCTCAAATAATCCCAGGATGAACCGGTCCCATCCGCCTGTCTAGTCCCTGCTGGTGGGGGAGGTGAAGGCCTCGGGATTGTCGCTTCCCCGCAGAGGCTTTCCTGCCTGGCTTTAACCCTTTGGAGTGCTGTGGCTAGCTACTTCTGCCCCAGGCTTCCAATTCCACCCACCTCTCCTGTGTATCGCCTTGCCCCTGGCGACCACAGTTAAGATGCCCCCCAGTATCCCTTATACCTGAAATCTACTATTACCATTTTCTCCTCTCCCAATCAGGAGCTCTCCACTTATCACCAAAGTCAAAAATCCTTTGTCAAACACCTGTTCCCAGGGGCACTGGATGAGGAGCTGCCAGAAGTGAACTCAAGTCCCAGTAGCATAATCACGCCCGCCCCACCCACCATGATGGCAGTGGCCTGAGGCAGTGGTTTCGCCCGCCCGTCTCTTGGACTTGGATTTGAATGCCAACCCTGCCCTTTACTAGAGTATGGCTTTAGGCAAATCATTTAAACCCTCAGATCCCTGACTCTGTGGCTACTGGAGCATAACATCCACCCCAGAGAGTTGCTGGGTAGAATCAATGAGTCAATATATTAAAAGCATTTAGGACTCTGCTTGGCACAAAGGAAGTATATTTCAGTTCTCTGCCACTTAATTTGAAATTATTTTTAAGTTCTTAATATAGATATACAGTATTTTTATTTATTTATTTTTTGGCGGCTGGCTGGTACAGCATTTTTAAAGTTCCAGAGAATAGTGGTTATCTCATAGAAGGAGACAGAAGTACAAGATACTTTTTCTTTCCACATTGTACCTTTCTGTGTTTGACATTTATAAGGAGTCTGTATTACTTATCATTTTAAAAAGCAACGAAGATAATTTAAAATTCTTTAAAAGGCTAACAGAATCTTTTTAAAAGTGTTTTTGAAAAAGAAATGATAATTTTACAAAAAGGTTTGTGGGCTCTTTCATTACAAAAGTAAGAATGTTATTTATAGAATAATTAGGAAAATTTTGAAAGCGAAGTAGAAGAAAAAATTACCTATAACTTCATTACTAAAGACAGTTATTGTGAACATCTCAGTATATTTTGTTCTAATCTAGTTTTTTCCTTTTAATAACACAAATTAAACTCTCTCTACAGAAGATTCATATAGTACAGAACCAAAGAGTTCATTTCCTGACCCTAATATGTTCCCCTCACTGTCCCTATCAGCTGGTTTTTTTCTGCGCATTTTCATCTTTTTATGTGCATATACATATGCATATTTTTCTAGTCTTACTATATTTTTGTTCTATGTTAAACATTTTTACTAAATAGTATACATAATATGTAAACAATATATGTTGTATACCTAAATAATATATAAATAAATTACAAATAATATTCAAAATGCTTGTAAAGTTCAGTTCAAAATTTTACAAAAGTTAGGGCCGGCCCGTGGCTCACTTGGGAGAGTGTGGTGCTGATAAAACCAAGGCCACGGGTTCGGATCCCATATAGGGATGGCCGGTTAGCTCAATGGGCTGAGCGTGGTGCTGACAACCCCAAGCCAAGGGTTAAGATCCCCTTACCGGTCATCTTTTAAGAAAAAAAAAAAAAAATTACAAAAGTATTCAAATTTCAGTCCTCTTCCCTGGCTACAGTTTGTCTCTCCAGGAGCAGCCAACATTGCTTCCTGCCTCACACGTATCATTCTAGATGATAGGTTATGCATACACAAGCAATCCTCTGTGAGACTTGGAGAGAGCAAATGGTAGTATACTGCACTTTTTTTTTTTTTTTTTTTGGCAGCTGGTTGGTGTGGGGATCCGAACCTGTGACCTTAGTATTATAAGGCTGTGCTCTAACCAACTGAGCTAACTGGCCAGCCCTACTATACATTCTTATGCACCTTGCTTTTTTCACTTTATTTTTTTCATCTGGAGCTACCACTGTCCGGTAAAACTTGAAAGTCACACGGGCACTTTTATACCTTCTAGTAAATATGTTAATAAACGTTGAAAGGAACAGGTGAAATTAATTTAGCAATATATTTTACTTAAAACAGTATATCTAAAATATTATCATTTTTAACAGGCAATCAATATAAAAATTATTAATGAGATATTTTACATTCCTTTTTGTACCAAATCTTCAAAATCCGGTGTGTATTTCACACTTAAAGCACATCTCAATTAGGACTATCCACATTTAAGATGCTCCACAGCCACATGTGGCTGGTGGCTTCTATATTAGCACAAATCTAGATGTAGCATGAACTCCATTTTATGCATGGGTGTAATTTATTGATACAGTCCTCTATTGACGAACATTAAGGTCATTTCCATGTTTTGCTAATTAAACCGTGCTATAGTGGGTAGCCTTGTATATACATAATTTTGCAGACATATATACATGGCTGTACCTTCAAATTGTATGCGTGGTAGTAATTTGCATAGATTTTATAAAATTCTCTCCTTAGAAATTATACCAGTTTATCCTCCCAAAAACATTTTGAGAGTGCAGTTTCCCTATTCATGTTCAGTACAGTGTGTTATCAAAAGAATTGTTTAAACTTTGCCCATCTAATAGGTGAAAAATTAGTCCTCATTATAGTTTTAATTTACATTTTTTCATTATGAGTAAAGGGAGAGCATTTTTCATATATATAAAAGCCATTTATGTTTCCTGTGAATATCTTTTTTGATATGCTTGAGGGCTTTGTATTTATATGAGAGCTTTGTGTGTATTACAACAGTTAGCCCTTGGTCTACAATAGGAATTAAAAATATTTTTTCTGAGTTTGTGGCTTATAATTGGACTTTACTTATTGTGGGTTTTATCCTGTAGGAACTTTTAATGTTTACATATATGGTACATATCTGTCCTTTCTTTAATGGATTCTGGATTTGGTAAATTTTTTTTTTTTCCTTTTTGTCTTTTTTCGTGACCAGTAACAGGATCGCAACCCTCGGTGTCGCGCCCGTACCGCGACCGG